ACACAAAGCAAAAACAACAGTGACTAGGCAAAACAAAAAAAACCTCGATGAAAAGGAAAGCAGAATATGTTGACAATGGAAACAACTTTAAAATGGGTCAAAAGGGAGATCAGATGATAGGATGCTACATTTTAACTTCACTACGTCTGCCATAATCAGATTTACAATGCTCTCTGCTGGTAACAGGGCGCTTCACATGCCTCAACAATGAGCAGAGGGGGGTCACCAGAGGTTTAACCCCCGTGTGCACCCTGCAAATGGATTTTGGGCTTCTGCAAAGCTGGTGCTCTGAATTTGAACAGTTTGAACTCGGCTACCATTCCCTCCTTCAGACTTGGATTTTATTAGTTACAATCCTTGGATCACGTAGACTTGTGTGCTTCTTCCGTGTGGACTTAGTTGACATTTGACTTAGATGGTTGTTTAGGACAAGCCTTTAAGACCTCTGACCCGGTAAACAAGTGGCCAGCTAACTCAGAAGCAACAAAGCCCACATGGAAGAAGCACACCAGTCTGTGCCCTCAATAAAATAATTTAAAAAAAAAGAATAATGAGGGTAACCAATGTACAAATGTGCTTTATACAATTGATGTATGGATGGATGGTGATGAGTTGTATGAGCCCCCAATAAAATGACTTAAAAAAAAAAAGATATAAAAACATTTAAAGAAGACCTCTGACCCTGGTCTTTCTGATACGCGGGCACCATCTGGTTTCTTCGCCACACTTCGCCACAGCACCCATGTCTCCAGGGATCTCTTCGTGGGGCGAGCATCACGTCAGGCTTTTGTGTCATCTTTTGTGGGACAGACCACGTCCCTGAGTAAAACCAGAACCGAACTCGCTGTCATCACGGCCATTCCGATTCATCGCGAGCCTGTAGGACCCGGTGGAACGGCCACGGTTGTTTCTGAGACTGTAGGTCTTTCTGGGAGCAGAGAACCCTGTCTTTCTCCTGCAGATAGCACTTCCATGCAGCTGGACATTGGGATGACCTCAGAAGAACTGGCGCCCGTGAAGCAGGTCTTGGCAAACACCCTTGAAGAGGCCATGGACAGCCAGGAGAGTGAAAGCCACCTGTCTTGGAAGAAGTACAACTAGAATGATCATGAATCATGAGGATGACAAAACTTCATCACGTGCATGTTTGGGGTACCAGCCCCCATAATCGAAGGGGTCCAAGGGGCGGTTGTGTCATTGAGGGGTAAAATAAAAGACATCAGACAAGGTAAAGCATGGGATTGCTCACCTACGGGACTGCCATGACTTCAGCGGCCAGGTCCACACAGAGAGAGAGAATCTATGTGGTAGTTACATAACCTGTTGTCGATTTGAGATGATTAAGAGTGAAGGGGTGGAGTCTAGCCTGTCAATCAGGTCATAGCCAATGAGGCCTCTGTGTGGGCATGGCCTTCTCCTGAGGATTCTGGGAACTCCCTTACTCCTCCCTGGAGATGGGACACACTCTCTCTCTCTGTTTTGACTCTCTGAACGACATTGCAGCTGACAAGACACATGAAGCTACACTAGTGCCCTGAGCTGGAGGAGCCACATGGACACCCCTGCCAGTGCTGAGATGCTTATACTGCTGCTGGATTCACAAGAATTTTCCAGCCCACTGGCCTGTGATCTTCCTGCATTCGGTGTCATTGCATGTGTTGTGTGAGTCTGAGGAGGATTTTATACATTGCTATGAAGCAGAGCAGACTGGACTGCCCCATGGGTTAAATCAAAGAGGGCACAATTCTTTGGGCAAGTGTAATGTATAAAAACTCAATGCCTGTCCACCTGTTTGGACTCCCCGTGATCCCATAGGACTGAGCAGAACGCCCCAGTGGGTTTCCAAGGCTGTACATCTTTACAGTGGTAGGCAGTGCCATCTTTCTCTCATGGAGTGACTAGTGGGCTCAAACGTCTGACATTGTGGCCAGCAGCCCTATGAATAACTGGGAAGCGAACACTGAGGCAACTGGGAGGAGGACTCTTTTCCCGAACTTAGAGGGAATCTGGAAAGCTGGTATTCCATGGGAGGAAAGCCTCCACTTTGGTCAGTTAAAGTCCAAGTACATGGTCCTGCTTTAAATATCATTTCCACAGATCCTCCCCCTAAAGGTTATGCTGCCTTAAAGTGAGCACATGGTTGATTTATCTCCCTACAGAAGCAGACACGATCCTTCTCTCTCTTCCCCTCCTTGTACCTTCCCCCAGTGCAGGTATGAGGTTTCCTCACCTGTGAGTTCAGGGACCTTAATGTAGATACCACCCACCTTGTGACACATGTAACGACTGAATATGCATGTGTATGGCTACCTATAAATGTCCCAAGATAGTAAAGACTGCTCTCTCCTCCCTATCTTCTCCCACCAAGAGGACTGAGGTGAGCATGCTACCATACAATGTGTCCGACTGTTTTATTCTCTCTCCTACCTTCCCTATTCTCTGTGACTTTACTATGATATTTATATATTATAACCATACCATTGCACCTGCGGACCCTGCGGTTGTTAGAGGCTGGTTTCCTCTAGCAAATAACCCTTTTCGAAACCAGGGTTCCTTCAGGCCAGGGCTAGAGAGACAGACATACCACCTCCATACGTGTATAGACCTCAGGAACCCTCAAACTCACTGCCATCGAGTTGATGGTGACTCGTAGAGACCCTACAGGACAGGGTAGCATAGCCCCTGTGGGTTTCAGAGACAGTCTGCGGTAGTGGCATCATCTGGTGTCAACTTGAGAGGATTAAGAGTGAAGGGGTGGAGTTTAGCCTGTCAATCAGGCCGCAGCTTGATGACCTCATTTGGAGGTGCTACAGAGATAAATAACTCACTGGAGTTGGGACACAGAGACACTCCCTGTGAGACATTCCTGTGGACAAACCACATGGAGACACGCTGATGGAGCCAGAGCCCTGGAGCTGGAGGAGCCACGTGCAGACCCACGCCAGTGCTGAGATCCTGCTACTGCCACTGGATCTGCAAGACTTTCCACCCACTGGCCTGTGAGCTTCCTGCATTTGGCATCATTGCACGTATTTGGTGAGTCTGAACAGGACTTTAGAGATTGGTATCGGATATATGGGCTAATATAGGACTTATGGACTTGATCTGGACTGGGCTGGAATGTTTTCTTAACGTACAATTGCTCTTTGATATAAAGTTCTCTCTTACACACATATTAGTGTCTATGAATGTGTTTCTCTAGTCAACCCGGACTAACCTAGTCACAACACACAGTCACTCTTTAAAGAAGTAGAGCCCGTCTTTCTCCCAAGGAGTGGCTAGTGGTTTCAAACTGCCCACCTTGCCCATGGCAACCAAACTTGTAACCACTTTGCCACCAGGGCCCCTTGATTAGGTCTAGATGAAAGCTAGGTTGAAAAACAGTGGCTTTGGGAGGAAGAAGAAATGGGGAGCTGTTATCAGGGGCTCAAGTGGGAAAAGAATGCTTTCAAAATGATGTCGGCATATGTGCAAATGTGCTGGACACACTGGAGGAATGTATGGATTGTGATAAGAGATGTTAGAGCCCCCAATAAACGTATTTTTTAAAAAATAAATTAAAAGAAAAGAAAAACGATGGCTTTACATTCTGGTATTCTTGTAAAACACCATAGTAAAAGTGTCTACGATTTTACAGCATTACTTTTTGACTCACCCTTGCTTTGTGCGTGCGTGAATGTTTGCTGTTATCTGAGCTTTGGGGGAGCAATGGGTGAGTGGTACTCCTGCAGGCTGCAGGCTGGGAGGGGGGATGGGTGTCAGGAAGCCCAGTCACCATTAGTCAAAAGCAAAGACCAGGCTGATTCGAGAAAGTCAGGGTGTATTCCTGCAAGTGCCTGCCTGGAAGCAGCCTGGCTTCTCCTCTGAGCTGTCTCAAAATCCGAGCAAGATTGTATACCTTCAACAGGTGTGGCAGGAGCAAAAGTTTACAAGGACCACAGGAAGCGACCAGCAGGTTTTCACAAAGATCACAGAATACAATTGATCAAAAGTCTGTTTTGCTATAGTTATTGGGAAATTATCTACACCTACATTTCGCCAGGGGCCTTTAAAACGCCATCCCCTAAAGCTTCAAGCTCCTTTATTTAAATTGGAGCGAAGCCTCGGTGCTTTGAATGGTGGAATGCTTCCCTTTCAGCAATTTATCTCAATGCCCTTGCTAGCCTCCTTCCTGAGTCAGGACATCGCTGCTAATTAAGCTTTAAAGAAAATTTTTTACTGCAAGGGAGGGCTGTCACGTTTTGGATTTTTAATGAGCTAAATCTTAAGTTACGCTATATTTCTAGTATTTTGCCTACTAGCGGGCTCGTTCACCCGCTCTATCTGTACCAAGCAGAAAGCCCCCAGACAGAGCCTTAAAATATACCTTTCTGGGGAGAGATTATTTTGAGCTGAAACCTAAATGATCCATCAGCCAGTCACTCGACCGCCCAGGGCCTCCGTTGTTCCAACGGAGACGGAGGAAGTTATAAAACGAGGTAAGTTGTGAAACGGGGACTCTCGGGACTCGCCCTCGGTGTCTGCAGGGAGGGCTCGGAGCCCCTCGTTGCGTGCAGCAGTGGGTTACACATCAGCAGTTGCACCCGGCCGGCTGCTCTGCGGTTGGAAGATGAGGCGCTCTGCTCCCATAAAGACTTACAGCCTCTGACACTCAAAGGGGCAATTGTACTCTCCCCGCGGGGTCGTTTTGATGATGGCGAGAGAAAGGAGACCCTAAGGACTCGGTGACCAGCCTCAAACCGCAGATGTGCAGACCGCCTGGACACCGGACTTGAGACTCGCTGGGTTTGCGCCTGTGCGCACGCGCAGACCCAGGCAGCGGTTTCCCCGTGCTCCGGGACCACAACTCCCAGAAGGCTCCACGACCCCACCACCGCCTGAGTCCATCCTGCGCCAAGGCGCACGCGTGGACTCAAGTCCCGAGGGACCACAACTCCCAGAGGGCTTCACGTTCTCGCCACCTGCTGGGATAGCTGTTCTGCGCCGGAACGCACGCGTGGACTCAGGCTTCCCAGGAACTACAACTCCCAGAGTGCTTCGCTTTCTCCCAGCTGCCGCTGCCGAGGCCAAGATGGCGACGAGTAAGTGCCGGTGTTGCCGACTCGGGGGAAACGGGTAGTTCTGGCAGCCTCCGGAGGATCGGGAGAGGGGGGCAGGTGGAGCGACTGTTAAGATAGTGGGGTCGGCGTCACGGGAGGACGTGGAGGTCACCCAGGGGCTTCTCCGGTGGGGGTGGCACGAGGGTTAGAGGTCAGCGCGGGCAGTCCCGTATGGGTGACCCTCCTCTCCCCGCTTTGCAGAATTCACCACCTTCCTCAAGAATGCCTGGGCCAAGGAGCCGGTGCTGGTCGCGTCCTTCACCATCGCTGGCCTCGGTGTGTGAGTGCTCCCCAACGAACGTCCATGCCCCGCGCCAACGTCTACCCTTGCTCCCGCAAGGCTCCATGTTAACCCCAGGTTCCACCGCCCCCCACAAACGTTCCATCCTCACCCCGGATCCTGTCCCTCCACAAGCATTGCGTCCTTAACCAAGATTCCATCGCCCCACAAACACTCCATCCCTATATCAGACGCCATCGTCCCACGTACATTCCATCT